AGGAAGGCCTTAGTGCCTGGCCCACAGGCCGCCTGGAGTGTGGACAAGAGGTAAGTGCAGGAACGAGGGGCTTGCCATGAGGGAGGAACCCCCACACTTTTCAGCTTCTTGGAAAAAATCATCACTCAGTAGATGTAGCCAAACGGACTCAGCGTTGCCTGACCACTCGGATGGTCCCTGTAGAAGCTGCTTAGGGAGCTATCAGGAATAGTCTATGCTGACACAAAAATGCCCGAATGCAAACAGAATACACAAAGAGGATGGCTGCAGTGAAATTCTGAGATCTGGAGCAAAACAATAAAGAAAAATCAGGTTTTCCAACTTATAGAAACTCCACCAACTTAGTGAAGAGAAGAGAGAGAGGAGAAATAGAAGCGGCTTTAAGGTGAGAAGTGTTCAACTCTGAATATTTAAGAGCAAATGCGCTCTGGTCAGGACAATCTCATGTCATTGCTCCTAGAGATGCGTCAGCAATGGTGCGTTTTTCTCTTTCTTTATCTTCCAGCTGCTTCCCCCATCCTCTCTCTGCACTTCACACACGCCAGAACACTGCTAAATCTGGTTGGATGACAGCTGGACTGGAAGACAACAGAGTTCTACAAGTACAACACTCTATTCCTGGGGATCCATGCTTTCCATTTTGCACCTCATCAGCACACCATCTAGTACAACTGTGTAATGCATGTGCATATTTACACACCAACGATATAATGATTACTATCAACCCACATAGTGAACAAAAGTAAATATGCTGTGTTTAAAAAAAATCAACAATACATAAACATAACTTGACACTTCTTCTTACTCACACCAACAATCTTCCCCTTCAGATAGCTAGAATAGCCACAGATACCCAAAGGGTGAGGGAATGGAAGACTCTGTGGGGATGACTGGGTTAGACTGGACCCACCCTTCCGTCAGGTGGGTAGGAAAGGACCCCCCTCTGGAGGAGACACCCAAGCTCTCCGTGGGCAGGCTTTGGGAGTCACTGTTTTGTGCCAATTCTCCAGCCCGGACACCGCAACACAACAAAGGTCTTGAACTGCTTAAGTGCCCTCTTCAGATCCATATTTTCTCCATTTAAGGCAGTGTCATTCATGAGAAAGCTTGCCATCAACCTATGACATGAAGGCTGTACCAACCATGGATGATCCCTGCCTTATTCCACTGTCTCTTTAGGAGTATTAAAATGCTGATTTTCTCCTTCTTCATTCCTTTGGCATTTATTTGCTGTGATTTCCTCATGATTAGCAAATTTCTTTCATCAACTTTTTGATTACCTTCAAATACAACTTGCCCTAGAAAGGCAGGATCAAAGCTGGATTCTTTCCCTTTATTTTTCAGAGTAATGACGTGGTGTCCTAGCTACTTGAGAAGGGGGATCAGTGGACTTTGTGGGCTTCTCTCGTTTGGAGGATCATTCTGGACTCGTGGAGTATCCATCACTGGTTTGACTGCAATCCACTGTAGCTATTCTTTCTGATTCTCAAACTACCCGGTCTTTGGCTCCTATGTCCTTCTCACTCCATCCCAATGGTCTTCCTTAGCTTCCTTGCTGGCATGTCGAGAGGTCCCCTTGTGAACATCTCCTGCCCTAGACCTGGAATCAGCTATTTATCTGAGCAGGAGGTTCCTTATCATGGTAAAGGTATTTATTTGAAAGATTTTATTTATTTGTTAGAGAGAGAAAGAAAGAGAGAGAGTATGCACAAGCAGGGGGAGTGGCAGGCAGAGGGGGAAGCAGACTCTCTGCTGAGCAAGGAGCCTGATGCGGGACTTGATCCCAGGACTCTGGGATCATGACCTGAGCCGAAAGCATAGGGTTAACTGACTAAGCCACCCAGGCGTCCCAGTGGGAGAGGTATTTAAAAGGTTCCCAGTCTGAGTGCCAAGGATACTCCTTGCTACTGGATTGTCTTTACTTCTGATCCTTTTCCAAGTACAGAGCTAGGAAACACTTCCTTTTTAAAGAGAAAAGTAAACTGATACTGATATTTCCTATTCTAGCTGGAGATGATACAGTCTTTAAATTCTTTAAATACTACCCACCTTCTTGGATACTGAAAATCTGGGCTCCTACAGTATACCTCTAGCAGGTTCAAATAACAATGTAAATATTTTCCACTATGAATGTATGGTCCAAAGACTGAGTTTTAAAGTCACTTGAAGTAATTATTTTCTCTGTGTGGGACATTCACACTAATCTGATATAGAACACTAGGCGTGTTTCACTTTTTTCAATCTGTTTTCAGTTGTTAGTGAATGCTTTCTTTCTTTTTATAAATTATGTAAAACATTGACATGGTTCCCAAGTCAAAATAAAGTACATTAAAGAGACATCATCTTTCTGTCCCTGGTCCTGCACCCCCTTCCGCCAGGGGAAGTGATTTTCATAAGCTTGCTATTTATCCTTAGCTTATTTCTTTTGAAAATACAGGCAAATTCATATACGCTAACATACGCACACATTGCCTTCTTACAGAGAAGAGAGGAAGTCAACAAGCTGCCCTGCATGCTGGTTTTATTAATTCTCCCAGTCATCGCCCTTAGAGCAGTGGGGACCGTCCTCACTGCTCCTTCCAGGTTCACAGTGCTCCCCTCTCTCAGGGGACCATGTCATTTACTCAGTCCCCTAGTATGAACATCTGGGTTATTGCCACTCTTTGTCTATTTCGAACAGTGTCACAACAAATGACCTGTGCACACACTTTTTTTTTTTTTTTTTCTGCTCACTTATCTTTGGGAGAGACTCTTAGATATAACCTGTTCAAAGGGAAGATGTGCTGATAGTTTTGTTAGATGGTGACAACTACGCTCCCCCACTTAGTAACATGTTGCATTCTCACTAGTAGGGCAGGAAAAGATGGATGGACCCTCACCATTGGAATAGCTATGCTACCAACTTCTGGATCCTGGTGAGCCTGATGTTTGGGACATGGTGTCTTGGTGCAGTTAAAGTATGTATTTCTCTTTATGGTGAGTGAGGGTAATATGTTTTCTAATGCTTGGGGCAATAAGCTTCTTCTTCCTTGCAATGAATAATGGCCTTTGCTCATTTTCCTGTTGGATTATGGAACTTTTCCTTCAGTTTTTAGAAGCTCTTTATATATTAAAGGATACTAACCCACCATCAAGATAGAATTTGCTTATGTTTTTGCCATACAGGTTTTTTTTTTTTTTTTTTTAAAAGGCAGTCAAATGTATCAGTTTTCTCCCCTGATTCCTGCTGAATTCGGAGTCGGAAAATTTGTCCCCTTCCCAGGTTAATAGGAATTAGTCTGTGTTTTCATTTTTAGTTACATTTTAGGCAATGAATTTCTTTCAATTCAGTCAACCAACACTGCTGAAATCCTCCATTCATGGAGAACAAAATAGGTTTTTAGGACTCTGATTTTCAACATTCTAGAAGAGAACTTTATAGTTTCTAGAAACACTTCCTATTTCTACTGTCTGGATACAAGGCATCTTATAGAGGATACAGCCTATCATTCGGGTTATTCTGGCCATTTTAGAAACACCTAACATGTTTCATCTGATATAATGCACAGGTTACTTCTTACATTATTCTATACCACCTCATCCCAGCCCCTCAAAAGTTATACAATAAAGTCAAACCAAAGGCTAACTCCAATCATGCCTTACCATGCTGACCAGCCACCTATCACCCAACGTGCCACATATTAGTCTGTCCCCTAAACTGTGCCCCCAGGATGGGCTGCAACAACAGGATGATATAGCTCCAGGAACAATAATAATGTCTGCCAGGCATATAACATGCTCTTGCAAATCCTTCTGAGCTGAAAAGAACACTGAACACTTGACCATGAGCTGATTTTTAAATCACCACTGTCCAATTGCCATAGCCCTTCTTAATTCTATGGTCCCACATGTCACATCCAAGGATTAAGTCCAATGTGTTCTTTGTTACGTTTAATGAACCTGAGAAAAGGGTGACTGCATACAGTGGGGAGAGGTGAGCACACAGGGAAGAAGTAGGCCACGGGTCCCTTGGGTCTCAACAAAGGAAACAGATTCACATCGCAGATACTAATTCTAGGATGAAAATCTCTGGATTACAATTATTCTGACAACTTTGGAAAATGGGAGTTCTCTACTCTGAGCATCCAAATGAAGTCATGTTTAACTCATGTGACATTTCCAGAATAGGACTTCACCTCAATCGAGGAATACAGGCTTCAACTCTAGGTTTATTTTGGGCATGATCATTATCAAATTTGGGAGTTTCCTTCACAGTCCTTAGCTAATTATCAGTGAAATGAGGCTCAAGGAGGTAAACTGCCAGCAGCAATAGGAAATGGTGAATATGGGAAAGGGAACAGGACAGAAACAGAAAAAAACCGACCGCCGGGGCAGTGAGCTCCTCATTCTGGACGTGTCCACTACAACACCTCCTGAAATTACCACTGCTGTTGGCATCAATGACGCCTGGTGAGCAAGAGCAAGTGAGACTGCATTCTGCGGTCAGCGCGTGAGAAGTGATTAAGTATGGAACAGAGTTTAAAACAGTTTCCTTCAAAAAAAAAAAAAGCTGACTTTTTTTCTTTACAAGGGTTGATGTATAAATAATTAAGACTCTTTTTTTTTTTTTCCCGAAACTCTATCTACACGAAAGACCTCATTCCTCATCAGTCATCAAGTGGACCCTACACAGCATCTGTGCGGAATGAAACGTGTTTAGTGCTTGCCAATCCAGAATCCACCCAGGGTCCTTTCCCAAATGGTTTTTAGTGATACTTCATATTGAACGTCTTTTTCTCTAGAACATTTCGAAGGCTTTTCACAAAATGCTCACGTGGCCTTAATTCCAATTAAACAACAACAAAAAAATTCAGTGATTCTCAAGGGAAAGGTTCCACAGCACACGTTTCTACAGCTAAAAGCCCTGAGAATCATAACCCAAAATACACAGCCATCTAGTTTCTTTTCCCGTTTATCTTTGGTGGCATTCTGGAAAGCAGAGGGGAAGCGTGAATACTCACGGAACATGGTATAAAACTGCTGTGGGTTCAGATTCCATTTTCCCCAGGGCGTCTTGTGGCCTTTAGACTGGGCATAGTTAGCATGGTTAAACTCTGGCTCGGTACCAAATGAATCCAGGACTCGGAGCATGCACCTGAAAAGAAAAAGTAATGTGGATAAAACTACAACTTTGACCCCAAAGTTCAAAAGGTAAAAGTTCGTGGCGCCTGGTTGGCTCAGTCGGTTAAGTGTCTGCCTTCGGCTCAGGTCATGATCCCAGGATCCTGCGATGGAGCCCCGCGACGGGCTCCCTGTTAAGCAGGGAGTCTGCTTCTCTCTGCCTCTGCCAACCCCCACCCTGCCCTACTCAGACTCTGTCTCTCTCTCCCTCAAATAAATAGATAAAATCTTAAAAAAAAGGTAAAAGTTCTAACCTGTCCTGAAGGGACTACCAAGAACGGACAAATACTTTTCATCAGAAACACTAGTGGGTGGGAAGTGAGAGACTACAACATATATACCGAACACCTCCATGTGTGACTTCTGAGCCTGAGCCATCACACACAGATACGTTTTCCTTCAGATTAGCTGACAAGTCACAGAAGATCACTCAGATAACAGCAAAATACAAAGTCCCACGAGAGCTAGCACTGTAGACTGCCTGGTTCACTGTTGCCCCCTCGCTAGGGCCAAGCATACAGTGCAGCCTAACAAAGAGCTGCTGAAGAAACAAAGAACTACCATTTTTAGAAGTGGCCATGGTCTGAATATTTGTGTTCCCCTCCCAAATTCTTAGGTTGAACCTCTAACCCCCCAAGGTGATGGTACTAGTAAATAGGGCTCTGGGGGTGATTAGCTCATGAATGGGTTTAGTATTCTTATAAAAGGGACCCCACAGGGGCTTCTAGGTGGCACGGTCAGTTAACTGTCTGACTCTTGATTTCGCCTCAGGTCATGATCTTAGGGTTCTGGGATGGAGCCCCGCGTCAGACTTTACGCTCTGCAGGGAGTCTGCCTCGGATTCTCTCTCTCTCTCCCTTTGCCCCGCCAGCTCCCGATCTCTTTCTCTCTGAAATAAATTAATTTAAAAAAGAGAGAGAGAGGCCGCCTCAGAATTCCCTTGCCCCTTCCAGCAGGTGAGGACAAAGTGAGAAGTCTGAGACCTGGAGGAAGGAGAGCCTCGCTTGACCACGCCGGCTCTCTGTCCTTGCACTTCAGCTTGCAGAACCATGAGGAATGAAGGTTGTCTCTAAGCCACCCAGACTGGCATTTTGTACAGCAGCTCGAACGGACGAAGATGGAGGTCTTACTCTCCGTAAAGCATACGGCACACCTTAGCTCTTTCAACAGTCATTTACCATTTTCATCAATTAATAAGAGTATTTATTTTTAGGTAGAGTTTAGAACCTCCCTTAAGAGGCAGTGTTGATTTTTCTGTCAACTTGACAGGACTGGGACATTACTGCTTTCTTCCAGAGCCAGGAGTAAAACTGAAGATGTTTCATTTGGCTCGTCCAACAAAGTCTTCAAACTGGGTCAGCCAAATATCTGGTCTACCACCTATTTTTGTATGGCTTGTGAACTAAGAATGATCTTTATGTTAAAAGGTTTTTTCTTTTTTTTTTAAAGGGATAGTTTGTGACATGAAAATTAGATGAAATTCCATTTTCAGTGTTCAGAAATGAAGTTTTATTTCAACCTAGCCACGCCTAATTGTTTACTTAGGGTCTATGGCTGCTTACACTCAATAATAGAGAACTTCAATAGTTGCTGGAAAGACCATATGGCCAGCAAAGCCTAAAATATTTACTACATGACCCTTTATAGAAAGAGCCTGTCGATCACTGCTTTAGAGTACACATACACAAAAACAACCAATTCAAGAATCAATGCTGAAACCTCCTACATTAATTAACTCATTCTTTCAATTCATCACTGATTCTCAAACCACTGATGTACATTTAGCTTGTGTCTGGCCAATAAAAATAGCTGTTTTCTGTGGTTATACCTTATCAATACTCCTGAATGGCTCTTCCTGGACCAATGAGCATAAAAGCAAATAAATATTAAAGCCCACATTTTAAGGGTGCCTGGGTGGCTCCGATGGTTAAGCATTGGCCTTTGGTCCAGGTCATGGTCCCACGGTCCTGGGATCGAGCCCCACATTGGGCTCCTGGCTCAGCGGGAAGCCTGCTTCTCCCTCTCCCTCTGCCTCTCCCCCTGCTCATGCTCTCTATCTCTGTATCGCAAATGAATAAATAAAATCTTAAAAAAAATATTAAAGCCTACATTTTATAATCAGATAGTGGCAAGTGAGTTGTAAGTATTGGATCCAGTTACTTTCTTCCTTTTCCCACTACGATGAAGGCGTTCTCTTAACTTTTTTTTCACATCAATGTGTGATTCAGAAAAATAAAATGCCAACACCAGATTGGATTTTCCAGAAAAATCAACAGCAAATCGCCACTTTCGTGTGATGCTTTTCTCATCTGAGATCACCACCCTTTCTGTAGACAAGAAAGGAAGGAAAAGAAAGAGGATGGGAGCGAACACAAGCTGACCACAGAAAGCGTTTCCTTATTTTGGATTCCTGCGTGGCTCTCAAGGAACATGCTACCATTACAGTAACAATTTTCACAATTAGCACCAAGAATGCATCATCAGCCTGACAACCGTCAACCACAAGGTGGACGGAAATGGGAGCCCACAGTCCAGGAAAAAAGAAAGCTGGGGAGCCAAGGAACTGACCCATGTGTGTTTTCTCTGGTCTCTGAGTAGTCTGGGGCATTCCTTTTCTCTTCTTAATAAAACACTGCCATTCCTTAACTTATATATATATTTTTAGTATCAAAGTTTGCATTAAAAACTTACATCAAAACCTCCTATACTGTAACTAACTCTTTAACTTGTATTTTAAAATAAGCCACTGGTTGGAGCCAGTATATTTTCTTCTGAGAAAGATGGCAGCATTCAGAGAACGTAGGGACAACAGTGGCTGTTCTGTAGAGGGTTGTTGCAGAGCAGGAGGGGAGGGAGGGACACACGCGGACAGGTGGGGGTGCTCTGCTCCTGCCCAGGGGATGGGGCTGAGCCTCAAAGATTACAGGCTCTGTGCAAGCACAGCAGGGAGGAACAGGCCATCCTTGTCCTAAGAAACCTCTGTCTCGAAGGCTTTGGCTACTTCTACTCAGTTGCAATCCACTCTAACAGGGTATATGCTTCTCTAGCTTTGGCGTGTGATTTTATTTTTAACTTGGGAGTTTTACTGGTTTTCTTTTAAATTTAGAGAATTCAGACAAACCCTGATGATTCAAGACGCCTGGTGGGAGCCTAATGCCTGCAAGCCGGGACTCTGATACTGTGCTACATGATGCTAGGCTTCTCAAGCCAGTGGAAAGCTGTAGCATGAAAGATTGAATGTCTGAGAAACTTGGAATTCTACTTCCTCCTACATAAGCTTTAGTTTGGGAATCATCTATTTTTTTTTAGCTGACCTGGGTTTGATTTATAAACCAGAGGCAGGGGATGGATCTCTGTGTATGGCAGAGGAGGTTTAACATTATAGTTTTCCTCCTTCAATCACATTCTACAGCTGTGTTTTTGGAACTGGGTCTGTGTTGTTAATATTTATGCAGTTCCTCTAATGTCTTTTGTGTGTCTGAAGCATCAGGAACAGACCGATGACTTAAAAAGATATTTGCCTTGCTGCCCGAGGCAACTGGCCTCCTTCTAACAGGAATCGCTGCGGTCATGCCAAATGACTTCTGGAACATTCTCTTTGCTCTGAGCCACACTACTATAAGATGGATAACTTCCTTGCCAGGACCTACTTTCTAATTTGGAGTTGGATGTAAAACATGGTGTATCTTGCGCTATTTGCACCTCACTTTCCTGTGTGTCCTCAATACTCAGCAAAGACCTCATAGGAAGAAAAATGGGTATGAGTTTTGCAGTCCCGAGCGGTATACTGGTTGTATGTAGGCACTGAACACATGTTTAACTGAATTTCTTGGGTCCCTACATAAATTGGAAAGAATTTACAAATATGTTTCCAAGATCAACAGGACTCAAGGTTTTGCTCCTAAATGGAAGATCAGATGATA